CAAAAAAAAAAAAAAAAAAAAAAAAAAAAAAGCCAGGGAGACCAGTAGATGGCACAATGGTTATATCACTGGACTCCCACATGGTTAACAAAGTCCTGGATCCAGTGGCTTCAAAATCATGCCAGGTGCACGTGTGTGCATGCCTAAGTTCCCGAGAGAAGACTGCAGAAGGGACTGTGATGTGGCCATCCTTCCAGGCGGTGATTCTTGCTCTCTGTCTCTCTGGTGAGTGCACGTACCCTATAGCAAAAATCTCTCTTAAAAAAGTAAATTAATTAAGGGGACCAGCAGTTAGCATAATGGCTATGTCGCTGGACTCCCATGTAGTCGACTGCGGTTCGTGTCCCGGACCCGGTGGCTTAAAACTCACGCTGGGCACGTGTGCGTGTGTGCCCAAGATCCTGAGAGGAGAATGGAGGAGAAGGGATTGCGGCGTGACCATCCCCGCTGGGGGGTGATTTCTCGCTTTCTGTCTCTATTTCTCTGTCTGGCGAGTGCAAAGTCCCTATAGAGAAAACCTCTCCAAAAAATAAATAAATAAATAAATAAACAAACATGCCAGGTGTGTACATGTGTGCCCGAGATCCTGACAGGACTGAGAAATAAATAAGGATTCTGGCATGACCACGTCTCATTAAAGGGTGCTTCCTCCCTCTCCCTGTCTCTCGAGCCCTCTGGCAATCTGAAAAGTAAAATCAAAGCAGGGTCAGTATGTGTAACAATTGTTCTGTTAATGGGGCTATGGTGGTTGAAGCGCTGGACTCCCACATGGTCAACCGTGGTTCAAGGTCAACCGTGTTTCAAGTCTCAGACTTGGTGGCTTGCCTTTTCACTTTCCCTCTCTCTCTGTTTCTCTATCTGATAAAATTAGAATAAATGACTAAGAAAATAAAATTAATAATTATTAAAAAAAAATATTCTGTTAAGCTTTTGGTCAACAGAAGGCTGTGGGTTATCTATGAAGATAGGAAACCCTTAATCCTTCCTGCTGTCATGGCTCCATTCTACCAGAACCCCAGGCCAGAATGGGTCACATTATAGATTCAGGTTTTAGGAGAGTAACCTGAGAACTATTTCAGTTGGCATGTGTGTTCTAAGAGTCAAGTAGTCAACAGTGAAAAAATGTAAATGATTGCCGGTAAATAGAGATTGTCTAAATGACATTTAAGTCCTATTTCAATTAGCATTTAATTGATATTTGTGTTTACTAAAGTACATAATGAACAAAAATAAATGAAATCGAGAATCTGCATTTACTCACGGAGCAGAAGTAAGATGATTATGTACACTTCGGCTTTCCTTAAAAAGCATTCTGGAAAAATTAAAAAGACACAATTATTTTTTGATAACAGATAATAACATGACAATTGCTTTACTTTTTTTAGTCATTTAATTTTCAATAGGCTTATTTCACCAAGCAGAAGTTGTAATAGTACAGTATACTAAATATTTATGGGAAGTTTTATATCATCTCTTTTTTTAATAATTATTTTATATAACTTTTCATTTATTTTAATTTGACCAGAGGAGAACAGAGTGAAAGAGAGCAAGAGTGAGAGTGACAGAGAGAGAGAGAGAGAGAGAGAGAGAAAGCAAGCTGCCAGGTCCAGGATTGAACCGTAGTTCGCCATGTGGGAGTCCAGTGTCTTCAATTACCACGTCACCTGCCCTCCCCCTATCACTTCTAATTTTTATATCTTTTAAGAAATCTGGGACCAGCAGATGGAGTAATGGTTACATTGCTGGACTCCTACGTAGTCAACCGTGGTTTGAGTCTCGGACCCAGCAACTTAAAACTCACACTGGGTACCTGCATGCCCAATATCCCAGGAGGAGAATGGAAGAGAAGGGATCATAACGTGGCCATCCCTCTGGGGGGGTGATTTCTCACTTTCTGTCTTTGTCTCTAAAACTCTTGAGACTTTAAGGGACCAGCAATTAGCGTAATGGCTGTGTTGCTGGATTCCCATGGAGTCGACCGCAGTTCAAGTCCCAGACCTGGTGGCTTTAACTCACGCCGGGTGCGTGTGCATGCATGCCCAAGATCCTGAGAGGAGAATGGAGGAGAAGCCACTGTGGCATGGCCATCCTCCCTGGGGGGTGATTTCTTGCTTTCTGTCTCTCTCTCTCTCTCTCTTTCTGGTGAGTGCATGTTCCCTATAGCAAAAAACTCTCCAAAAAAAAAAAAAAAAAAAAAAAACCCCCAAAAAACTAAAAAAACTCTTGAGACTTTAAACAGGGAGACTCATAATCTCTTCAGATACCACTCTACATTGACTTCATTCAACAGTCTATGCCTATCTCCTTCCCTGTGCTTTAATTCCTATGTTCAGGAACTTATCTCCATGTTAACATCTAAAGTTCCTCTCCCCAAGCCTACAACTGTCTGCCCCCTCCCGTTTTCTCTACTAGCAAATTCAAGGGCAAAAAAGAAAAAAGTGGTCAGTAAGAAAAAGAAAATATCACCTTTATGGCCATCTCTTTATCTATACTGTCCACATGACTATTTTGTCTGTTAGGTGCTTAGTTTCCAAATAGATCACCTGAGATAACATATAGCATGGTAAATACATTAGGTTCTAAGCAAGATCAGTGTGTGTGTGTGTGTGTGTGTGTGTGTGTGTGTGTGTGCGCGCTGGTGTATCTTTAGTAACACCAGTAAGAAAAAGTAAAATAAACCTCAGGAAGTTGCAGTTCTTACCGTGCCTGCATCCAGCCCTTAGGCCACAAGGGCTTCACCTCTGTTTCCATAAAAGATTTAAGATAATCCTCGGCAGACTGGCTTTTATTTGGCTCCAACTCATAGCATCCCAATTTGATCTCAACGAGGTTACATAACAAAGTTCTAAACAGATTAAAAATATATATTTATAAATAATATCATTGTAGAACTTTAGAAAATTAAGTAGGAAACCGATTTTTTAAAGCATATAAATTTGACAGAAATAATAGAATATTATCTGAAAAATTTAGAAAATGACATGAAGATCATTTCTTTTTTTAAAAGAATGATTTTTCATCTAATTTGTTTATTTATTATTAATTTTTTAAAAATTATTTTCAATTTTATTTATTCATTTACTTATTTTAACCAGAGAGACACACACAGAGAGAGAGAGAGACAGAGACAGAGAGGGAAAGTCAAAAAGCAAGCCACCAAGTACAGGACTTGAACCATGGTTGGCCACATGGGAATGTCCAGCATCTTAACTGCCACACCACCTGCTGGTCCCCATATTTATTTTTAATTTGACTAGAGAGGGACAGAGTGAGAGAAAGAGACAGTAAGTGAGAAAGCAAGTTGCCAGGTCCAGGATTCAAACCATGGTCAGCCACGTGGGAGTCTAGTGCCCTTAACCACCATGCCACCTGCTGGCACTCGACATGAAGAGAATGTCTAGCATATATATATCATTCATCACACTTCTGACAAACCTCCAAAATCAGACATTTTCCTGTGTATCTTTAATTAAGGCATCAAATGCCAGAAGGGATAGCATTCCACTTGGGGTACAGAAATACTGCTAAGAAAGATGGCTGAGTTACACAAGTATATTGAATATTTCACCTACTGAAATCAGCATGATATAGTCCATCATTAGAAGATTAGAGTATAACAAGTATTACATATAAATAAAAGTGATAACACTGTAAGAACCAAATTAATCGTCTCTTGACTAAATTCTTCCTACATATTAGTCTTTGGCTGTTTCAGATCTAGTCTTCCATTTACCACAGATTCTTTTCATGAGAAACTTTACCTTTACATCATATATTTGGTCAAAAGTGAAAGCCAGGGGAACAGCGGGTGGTATGGTGGTTAAGGTGCTAGACACTCCCACACGGCCAACCACAGTTCGAGTCCCAGACCTGGTGGCTTGCTTTCTCACTTTCCCTCTCTCTCTCTCTCTCAGTGTGTCTGTCTTTCTCTGGTCAAACTAAAATAAATTAATGGCATGGCGGTAAAGGTGCTGGACTCCCATAAGGCTGACCGTGGTTCAAATCCTGGACCTGGAGGCTTTCTTTCTCATTTTCCTTTTCTTTCTCTGTCTCTCTCTGATCAAATTAAATAATAATAATAATAATAAATAAATAAATTTAAAAAGCCTCCTCTCAAGTAACAATTATCTCACTTAAGAAAATAAATTAATGAAGAAATAAAATTAAATAAAAAAATTATTTTTGAAAAAAGTGAAAGACAGTTAAACTTTTTCTCTCTCTCTTTTTTTTTTTTTTTTTTAAGATTATTCTCATAGGATGCTTGTTATCATTGAGAGACAGAGAGAGAGGGAAAATTCGAAATTACTCCCCAGGGAGGATGGCCACAGTGAAATCTCTCCTCTCCTTAAGATTCTGGGCATGCACACATGCACCCAGCATGCTTTCCTTTCATAAAATTTTTTGATTTTAGGGGCTGGCAAGTGGTGTGATGGTTAAGAGTGCTGGACTCCCACATGGCTGACCACGATTCAAGTCCTGGACCTGGTGGCTTGCTTTCTCACTCCCCCCTCTACTTCTCTCTCCAGTCAAATTAAAATAAGTAAATAAATAAAGATAATAAAAAACCAGGACAGAGTGAAAGCAAAACAGGGAAATAGGTGGGAGGAGTGAGAAAGCAAGCTGCCAGGTTCAGGACTTGAACCAAGGTGAGCCATGTGGGATCCAGCATTCTTAACCACCACGCCACCCGCCAGACGTATTATTATTACTTTAAATTTACTATAGGGCATGTGCATTCACTAGAGAGAATAGAGAAAGAGAGAGAACGTGAGAAGCAAGCCACCATTTCCAGGATTCAAACCATGGTGTGCCATGTGAGAGTCCAGCACCTTAACGACCATGCTAACTGCTGGCCAAAAGACCAATTAAATCTTATGTGATGGTGGGCCAGCCAGGTGGCATAGTGGTTAAAGGTGGCCAGAATGCACCTGACTGAGCGTGCAGTTTGAGTCCCAGGCCTGGCAGTTTAGAAAACATGCCATGCGGATATGCATGTGTGCCTAAAATCCCGAGGGGAGAATGGAGGAGAAGGTATCGAGGCATGGCCCTCCCCACTGGAGGATGATTTCTCATTTTCCCTTTGTCTCTCTCTCTCTCTCCCTCATTGTCCCTCACTGGTGAGCACAAGAACCCTATAGCAAAAGCTTAAAAAAAAAAAAAAAAGCCAAAAACAAACAAACAGAACCCCTTACCTTATGGTATCATCCCAGTGGAATTTCTTTCTTGGTCCTATGACACGTTTCCCTGGTTTCTCATCATCATCTTCCTCAGATCCATTTTTTTCTCGTTCTTCATCTGTTTGTAACCTAAAAATGAACATTTTATGAAGGAAAGTTTAACCCAATATTGCCTATAACAGACTCCACAAACCTGTTGAATTCAACTGAATGTTAATTTAAATAGAAGTAAATAGGGAATATACCTTTCTGCAAAACATGTTCAGAGTTATAACATGGTTTGTTAAATAAGGTTTTCAGAGGCCAGCCAGTGGTGTGGTGGTTAAGGCAGCTGGATCCTCCACGGCTGACTGGGTAGTTCCAGTTCCAGGCCTGTCAGCTTGAACAACATGCTGTGTGTGTGTGTGTGTGTGTGTGTGCGTGTGTGCGCGCGCATGTTCGTGCGTGTGTGTGCTCATGCTAAAAATCCCAAGAGGAGAACAGAGGAGATACTACTATGGTGGGCTATGCCCCTTGGGGGTGCTTTCTTACTTTTCCTTCTGTCTCTCCAGTGAACGCACATGCCTTATAGACTAGGACAAAGGAGTCTGCGAACTGTGATATAAAGGCACCAACACTCATCTTGACTACCTCTGGCTAGCCGAAACGGTAAACACGTGAAATGTCCGACAGAGCTACACCTCTGCTTCTGACACCAAAGCGACTGAATGGGGAGTGACATACCATTTAGGAAATATTCCATTATACCATTTCATTATTGTATGTGGATATTTACTTGAGGATGAGGTCCACTTAAGATCAATTCCTAGAGCTGAAAATATTTCTCAAATGCAAAAACCAGTCCAAATACAAGAACATACTTGGCACACTTAGCTTGACTACGAGCCTGGCAGTCCTCCTGGTATTTAAACAGTTGTTCAGGCATGACATTGCTGACAGCCAGTTTCAGTTTTTGCAGAGGTTCTCTTAAACGATCATCCTGAGGAAACAGAATGCAACAAAAATGTTTACAATCATATTTACAAAATTTATGTTGTAAGCAAATATCCAAAGGTGAAATTATGTTTTAGATATTGATGACAGACGTGAAATCTTAGCATACCTAAATACAGACATTTCTTTTACAACACAGACTTTTCATAATGCACACTGGGACATAAAATTAGGGTGACTATAATTCCCAGTTAGTCAAGGCTGTCCCAGGTTTTGCTCTCTGCTCCCCAGCATAACTATAAATAGTGCTCCTTCGGACCAGCACGTAGTGTGGTTACGGTGCTAGACTCCCATATGACTGACTGCAGTTCAGGTTCTGGACCTGGTGGCTTGCTTTCTCACTTTCCCCCTTTCTCTCTGCCTCTCTCTAATGAGTGCACATGCTCCACAGTAAATTAAAAAATAAGGGTAATAATAAATAATTCTTTTTAAAAAAGGTGCTCCTTTATATCCTCAAATATGCTCCATGTCTTTTTTTTTTTTTTTTTAAGAGAGGTTTTTGCTAAAGGGCGCGTGCGCTTGCCAGAGAGACAGAGAGAGACAGAGAGACCGAAAGCGAGAAATCACCCCCCAGGGGGAATGGCCATGCCACAATCCCTTCTCCTCCATTCTCCTCTCGGCATCTTGGGCACACTGTGCCCGGAGTGAGTTTAAGCCACCAGGTCTGGGACTCAAACCATGGTAGACTACATGGGAGTCCAGTGACATAGCCATTACGCTAACTGCTGGTCCCTAAGCTCCATGACTTAAGCAGTAAATTATATGGACCCTTCAACCATAATACAAATGATTAAACCGAGAACGAGATCTACGTGTTATAGTCACCTGCTGGTTAGTCCCCATTAGGAGGGGTACCATAAGAAGAGGTACTGCTCGAGAACACTGTCTGGTCTAGATGACAGCCAGCAGGATGTTGGCATCCTGTTCTCTCAGTTATTTTTAATAATTGTGACTATCATTACAGGCAAAAATGCAAGGTCAAGGCCAAAGTGAAAAAGGAAACCAGAAGACTTATCCATGTGGACTCAGGGCAAAAGGGAAAGCAAGCAGGTTTGTAATTGAGGTTTTTTTTTTTTTTTTTTTTGTTTTGGGGGGAGAGATTTTTTGCTATAGGGTGCGTGCGCTCGCCAGACAGACAGAGAGAGAGAGAGACAGAAAGCGAGAAATCACCCCCCAGGGGGGATGGCCACACCACAATCTCTTCTCCTCCATTCTCCTCTTGGGATCTTGGGCACGCACGCACACACTCCTGGCGTGAGTTTTAAGCCACTGGGTCCGGGACACGAACCGTGGTCGACTACGTGGGAGTCCAGCAACATAGCCATTACGCTAACTGCTGATTCCCTGTATCTGATAGTTTTAACCAACCAATTTATTACTTTCATCTCACAAATAATACAGATGTAACTACTTAAAATACTTTCATCAACATCATAGGTACAGAAAAGACTGCTTTCCTTCACCGAAACAACTGTTTTTAAAATGTGACTTTTGATAAAGAGAAGATTTTTAAAACACAATTATTACCGATAATCATTATAAAAGTGATTTATAAAAAGTATAGTACAAATGACAATGCCTGCTATCAAATTCCATATTAAAAAATGTAGGGACCAGCAGTTGCTGCAATGGCTATGTCGCTGGACTCCCATGTAGGCGACTAAAATTCGAGTCCCGGACCCTGTGGCTTAAACTCACACCGGGCGCGTGTGCGTGCGTGCCCGCCCAAGATCCCGAGAGGAGAATAGAGGAGAAGGGGTTGCGGCATGGCCATCCCCCCGGGGGGTGATTTCTTGCTTTCTGTCTCTCTCTGTCTTTCGGGTGAGCGCACATGCCATGTAACAAAAACCTCTCCAAAATATGTAAACCCCAGTATCATGGATCCTAGATGACTCCATTTGAAGAACTGAGACCATCTGCCTGGAAATAAAACAAATATCCATCAACTATAAAATGGATAAACTAATTGGGATATAGTCATAAAATGGAACATTACACACAGCAGTCAAAAAATTTTCGCTGCATGCACGCTTACAGAAATCTCAAAAACCTGCTCTGAATTGATAAAGAACTATGAGTTTCCAATTCAAAAGAAGTTGTTAAAGAAGTTAATTATTTTTCAGGGAACCCAACATGCCTTTAATAACTTTTTCTTTTAAAGAATTGTTTATTTTTTATTTGTTCATTCACTTATTTCAATTTGACCAGAGAGAGAGAGAAAGTGAGAAAGCAAGCGACCAGGTCTGAGACTCGAACTGTGGTTGGCCACATGGGAGTGTCTAGTGCCTCAACCACCACACCACCCTGCTGGACTTGCCTTTAATAACCATTTATAGTTATTAAATACATACACTATGTCCTAAAGCAAAGGCCCCCAACAGAAACAATTCTCTCTACTTTGTAGGTTATTAAGCCCCGGATTCAGACATTATTGTTCTTTCCCTTACCTGGACATTGAGATGCAACTTCTTGAGACGTTTTACCAATGTTTCTTTATTGCACGGGACGAAAGCTTCAAGATGGGCATAGACACCGCTACGAATGACAGGGCCTAGTTCTTGTAGCTGTAACTCAATGCTGGCCAAAGAAAAAAGAAAAAAATCAACAATAAACAGCACGTATTTCTTCTAGGTGCTATCAGACAAGAAGGCAAGGGCAGTTGACTTTACCTTTCCATGATTTCCTAGACAGCATCTTTCATGCAAAAAAAACAATTCAGTGCTATAAAAAACAATCTAGGAGTCTGGTTTAAGAGTAGAATTCATATGACCAGAAAGAACCGAGCAATGTATTTTTTTTTCAGTGATAGCAAAAGCTGAATAAAGCTCAGGAACTCTATTATTATCCAAAAGTGCATTTCTTCAGAGATCTTACTGCTCCCTCCACACTCTGAAAACTGTTATATTAGAGTTCCTAGATTATTTTTTACTTAGAAGTGTTTGAAAAAAGTAAAGTTCAGGGACCAGCAATTACCATAATGGCTAAGTCGCTGGACTCCCATTCTACCGTGGTTTGAGTCCCGGACCCAGTGGCTTAAACTCACACCAGGCACGGCGTGTCCAAGATCCCGAGAGGAGAATGGAGAAGGGATTGCGGCGTGGCCATCCCACTGGAGGGTGATTTCTCGCTTTCTGTCTCTCTGTCTCTGTCTTTCTGGTGGGCGCATGTGCCCTATGGCAAAAAAATCTCTCCAAAAAAAAAAAAGGAAAGTTCAAAAGATGTAAAGTCCCTCTGACTACACAAATGAACTATTTTATCCATTTTTATTTCTCTTCTTGGGTCTTCATTGCACAACTTATATTTAATAGTTTATTTGATCTACTCTAAATCTCTAGTTTCCATTTCCACTTATAAATTAGATTTTCAGGAAAAAAATGAATTTTTTAGATGAATTTTTAATTTAATAGCTTTTTTAAAAATGGAGGGCCGGCAGGTGGCATGCTGGCTAAAGGCGCTAGACTCCCACATGGCTGATAGCAGTTCAAGTCCCAGTCCTGGCAACTTGTTTCTCACTTTCCCTCTCTCTTTGTCTCTCTCAGACACTGTCTTCCTCTCTGTTCAAATTAAAGTAAATAAAGTCAAAATACATAAATAAATAGTTAAATTTAAATAAAAATTGAAGGGCTAGCCAGTGGTGTGGTGGTTAAGGTGGCTAGATCCCATGTGGCCCAGTGGCTTGAAAAAACATGCCAGGTGCGCACGCGTGCTACCCCAAATCCCGAAAGGAGTGGAGGAGAAGGGATTGTAGCATGGCCACTCCCATGGTGGCGAGGGGGTGGGGAGACTTGTTTTCTCTGTCTCTCTTTCCTCTGACAAGCACACACATCCTCTATTAAATAAAAAAGGAATAAAGAAAACAGTTGGTATCATATTCTCAGCAGAACAAACCTAAAATATAACTGAGGTATCTCCCAAGCCGGAAGATACACTTGGCAGCTGTTACTGTAGAGTGATAAGAACAGATTTTTTTTTTTTTTTGGCGACATTTTTGTTATAGGGTGTGTGCGTTTGCCAGAGAGACAGACAGAAAGTAAGAAATCACCCCCCCGGGGGGGATGGCCATACCGCAATCCCTTCTCCTCCATTCTCCTCTCGGGATCTTGGGAACGCATGCACATGCGCCCAGCATGAATTTCAAGTCAATGGGTCTGGGACTTGTAGTCCTTTTACTGCATGGGAGTCCAGCAACGCAACCGCTATACCATCTGCTGGTCCCAGATGTTCATTTAAAGGCCATGACAAAACTGAACCTTCTGGCAACGAACTATGTTCAAACTATCAGTCTATTATAGGAGAAGGTTCAGATAGACCAAGTATTTCTAAGCTAAGTGAGATGCAGCTAAGAGTCACTTAGCTTTTTGGGAAGAAAGAAACCCTACTATAGCAAATGTATCCAGTGCAAGATATATTGCAATTTCAGAAAAAATAAAATATGGAAGATTATGCGCCTTAGACATGATTATAGAAAATTCTTTTTTTTTTTTTTTTTTTTGAGAGGTTCTTGCTATAGGACGCGTGCGCTCGCCAGAGAGCGAGAAATTACCCCCCCAGGGGGGTGGTCATGCCGCAATCCCTTCTCCTCCATTCTCCTCTCGGGATCTTGGGCACGCACGCACATGAGCCCGGCGTGAGTTTTATGTCACCGAGTCCAGGACTCGAACCACAGTCGACTACATGGGAGTCCAGCAACATAGCCATTACGTTAACTGCTGGTCCCTAGAAAATTATTGATATTAAAGAAGCCAAATACACAATCAAAAAATGGCAATACGTTTAAGACGTATAAAATCCAGCAGGTGCAAAGGTTCATATGGAAATCAATCATTATGGCCCTGAGTCCTGTGTTTGAGCAGTTATCATCAACATCCGACTAGATAATGTTATCTAAGTCCAGATCCTGGGTAAGAGGCTTTTTAGGGTTGCTCTGTTACTGAAACTTAGTTGAGGCTGAAAATGAAATAGAAACTAAGTATTAAGAGATTCCTGGTAAGGAAAACTTGACTCAATGACCTACTTACAAAACTTAGTGGTTTCTGGGGCCAGCAAGTGGTATGGTAGTTAAAGATGCTGGACTCCCACATGGCCAACCATGTTTTGAGTCTTGGACCTGGCAGCTTGCTTTCTCGCTCTCTGATCAAATAATAAAAAGGCAAATAAAATAATTCTTTAACAAAGACTTAGTGGTTTCCAAAGAGCTCAACTCAGATGCAGGAAGACCTGGCTCCCTGAACAGAAACCAAATGATAAGTCTCTTTATACTGGATATTCAAGTCACTACTCATTCACGAGCTCCTCAAAGGATCATTTAATAAAGAGATGGTAACGGCTATGTTGCTGGAGACTCCAATGTAGTCCACTGTGGTTTTCATCCCCATCACTGGACTTCTGTGCAGTTGACCATGGTTCTAATCCCAGACCCTGGGGCTTAAAACTCATGCCAGGCATATGTGCGTGTATGTCCAAAGTCCTGAGAGGAGAATGGAGTAGAAGTGACTGTAATGTGGCCATCCCCCCTAGAAGGTCATTTCTTGCTTTCTGTCTCTCAGGTGAGCACATGCGTCCTAAAGCAAACATCTCTATTTAAAAAAAAAGAAGAAGAAGAACAAAGATGTCAAAGATGTCAAGTGTCTGCTGGGATGGTAAGCACCTGCTAGAACAATCTGTCAGGACTAAATGGCATAACAGGAAGAGTTTCACAATCTATTATCAAATGTCTGCTTCAGGTAAGAGAGGAGGAAATCTAGCCACCATGTTTTACAGGTGTTGTAAAACAGGTCACATTTAATTAGTCAGAAAGAAAAAGGGTTCCCTACGCCAACAGACTGATCTTTTTCTCATCAGCATAAAGTAGCAATGGTGAGGCAGAGCCAATACACCGGATTTCTTCATGAAATTACCACCCCGGATCATTGTGTACCATAGGCCCTTAAGAGAGCAACTAGTCCAGAAAAATAAGGCATGCTTGTTCAGGAAGGGGGAAGAGAAGGCCGGGGGAATAAGAAAAGTAACTAAAGGGGGAAAAAATCAACTTTGAACACTAGGGCTTGTGGAACCGGAGGCACACCTTCTATAAAACAAGAAGCAGATAGGCTCTGAAAATGAGAAGATTAGTTTTAAAACAGACACGTGAGGGATAAACGGAGAAGCCTGTCTAATGAATGCGGATTCCGCTTATGTGAGACACTAGATCCCAAGGATGGTCTTTTGACTCTCCCAGGGGAGAAACAGTCCCCTTGTGTGGAAGGGCAAAATACAAAAGAATAGCCTCAGTCGCAGGGAAGGACATAATCTAGTACCTTAGAGCTCTCAGGTAGGAAGAAAGAGAAGAGCCAGTTAGATCCCTGATTACGGAATCTGGGACAGCCCGCACGGGTAATGGCTGCACTGTTTCCCTGGTCTGGGACTCAGAAAGGAGCTAGGTCAAAGGACTGGCACAGACAGGAAGCATCTGCCTGGCTTCCAGGCACACGACTCAAATGGAAAATCTGTCTAAAATACAGAACAGGAATGAACAACTCCTCTGCCACCGAGTCAGTATGTAACACTAGGTTATATATTTTCTGAGTCCATTTTTAGGTACTCAAGGATAACAGAGACTGAAATTAATTGAAATAGTTCTCAGAAAGAATGAACCCACCAGTCCTCTGTATCTCAGGAGAAACTCCCTCCATCGTGCACGTAGAAGAGGGAACCGTGTATGAGCAACACTGTTCCCCTGCGTCTCTCCCTGCGCAGCTACCAAAGCACCCGGAATAAGCCGGCGTACTTTTGTCGGTACTGTCCCCGTGACTCTGCTGCTCAGCTTCGTTTGCAGCCAGTTACTTAGTACTGGGTTCCCTGTGACTGATGGTTAAAGGTTATGAGCCGATGGTCCCCAAGGACGGCTTCCTGGGTCCCAATATGACGGCCCACAGCTGTGTTAGTGGCAGCTCCACACCCACAGCCACGGCTCAGGAAAATACGAAAAGTACTCCTTTACATAAATCTGTACGTAGGGAAGCCTTTACCTTCTCCTTTCCAATTTAACATCTGTCTTCTCACATCACCACTAACCCACCTTATATAACCATGATTTCTCCAGTAAGCCAAACTTTCCATGTGGCTATGCTGGTATGAATCATAATTAACCTCAACAAATATTGATGGAATTATTTTTCCCAGTCTCAGTAATAAAAGTAGAAGGAAAATGATACCACATTTGTATATACACTATAATTTTTCCAGAAAGATATTTTCATGTACATGACTAAAATACATTTAAATACAGACTAATAAGTATTCACTCCGTACAGTGGTCACTTGCTCTGGCAGTTATAAACACTGGGAGCTGTGATTATTTTAAGTGGTCTAGGAGAAACAATACGTCTCAAAAGCCTAATTTTGCTAAGAAGCAAATGTTCATCATACATGTGTAAGGCTAAAAGGAAGAATTAATGCAGGAGCCCAGCCGGCCCCTCAGCATCTCCATCTCAGAGAACTACTATGTTTTAAAATGAATGATTATTAAGGCTTTCAAATAAAAGAAAAATTACTTACTCCAGAAGAATATTATTCATATCCTGCGTAAAGAACTTTTTCCTTCCTTCTTCATCAAAAAGTTTGGCAGCCTAGAAAAACGCAGGAAAGACTGTCAATGTAATTCATAACAAATAACTACTTTCAGATGAATATAGAATTAAAAAATATTTTCATATCAGTAGACTCCCACTAGAGATCCAAATTTATTTTTAATTGGATACTATGTAAGATTCCTGCAGTTGTCATACCAAAGTACCACACACTTGTTGGCTTACAACAGAAAATTATTCTCACAGCACAGACTCCAAAATGAGTATTACTTGGCTGAAATCGAGGTGCCAACAGGGTCTTGCTCTGTCCAGAGGCTCTCGAGGAACTCTCCTTGGCCCTCCCATTCCGCTGCTGCCTGCATTCCTGGTTGCAGCTGCACCCTCCCGTGGGCAGGCCAGCCTCTCCACATCTCTCTGGGCTCTGCCTTCATGCGTCCTTCTCTTCTGTGCATAATCTGCCCTGGCCACCCTCTTCTAAGGAGGCATGTGACTGCATTTAGGGCCAATGGATAACCTTCCCACTCAAGATTCCTAAACTTATCACATCTACAAAGACCCTCCCCTCTTATACCATGTATAGTTAATATTCGCAAGTTCCAGGGACTAGAACATTCATACCAGGGGGCCATTTTTCCACTCACCACAGATACTTAACAGTCTGTAAAAGTTATATGATTCTAAGAACACAAAAGATCAATTCCCATCAAAGTTTGCCTTTCGAGTTAAAAAAAAAAAAATTAGAAACACTATACAACAAGAAAAGTAAAGTCTAATCATGTGTTCAACCCGATGCGTGATCAATGCTGCAGACTTGTGTGAATAGACAAAAGAATTTAGTAATGTGTCTACCTTGAATTTGAGAAGACAGACTCCATGACCATGTACTTAAGTCACTGACCTAACAACTATAAATAGTGTTCACTGTGCCCCATCAAGATTGTGGTCAAAATACAGATAACAAACAATCCAGTTGAAATGTGTGGCAAAAAAAAAAATACAGGGGGAAATTAAACGTACACATGGTTTAAAAAAAAAACAAAAACAAAGGGCAGGCGAGTTGGTGGAGTGCTGGTTAGGGCAGCTGCACCCACACTGCTGACTGAGCATCATGTGTTCCACACCTGGCAGCTTGAAAAATATAGGTGCATGTACATGCATGCCCCAAATCCCAAGAGAATGAAAGAGAGGGGACTGGGATGTGGCCATCTCTTCTGGGGGGGGCGGGTGGTTTCTCTCTCTCTGTCTCTGATGAGAGCACATTCCCTAAAGCAAATATAAAAAATATTTCTGATGAAAAGTCACGACACACTGCTGCATAGAAAAACATAGAAAAATGCATCGTGACTTTTTTGGCAGCCCAATAAATAAAAGTAGTAATGTGGGCCAGCCTTGCGGCCTGGTAGAAAAGGGAGCCAGATCCTACATGGTTGACTGGTCTAAATTCCGCATCCTGCACACATGCAGAAATGGAGGAGAGACTGCTGCATGACCATTCCCCACTAGGAGGTGCCTTCTCTCTCTCCTCTATTTCTGATGAGCGCATGTACCTTCTAGCCAAAATTCAAGAAGAAAAAAGCAGTGTGAATAATACATTAGCACTGCCTAATTTCAGATTCAATCGTGCCCACAGGTCATAAAAGGTATGAAACTAAAAACTGAATAATCTCACGGTGCTTATCAATTGCCTAAAGTGAACAAAAAAACAGATATACTTCTTTGAGTAAAATAATCTAAATAATTTTTTTAAATTTGCCTACAGATATTGTCAAAGATCTACAATATGTGCAATAGTCTATTAGATATTTCGTATTTATGGGAACAGCAGTTAGCGTAATGGCTATGTCACTGAACTCCCACGTAGTCGACCGTGGTTCGAGTCCCGGACCTGGTGGCCTAAACTCACGCTGGGTGCATGTGCGTGCGTGCCCAGGATCCCGAGAGGAGAATGGAGGAGAAGGGACTGTGGCATGACCATCCTCCCTGGGGGGTGATTTCTTGCTTTCTCTGTCTCTCTCTGTCTTTCTGTCGAGCGCACGTGCCCTATTGCAAAAAAACTCTAAAAAAAAAAAAAAATAGGTATTTCATATTCATTACCACAGTTAATCCTCATAACAGCTAGGGAAGCTGGATAACAGTCCCCATCTTACAAACAATGAGCCTAAACCTTAGAGAGGTGACAAGTCATGCCCCTAAATCACACTGCCAGTAAGTGATAGATCCAGGACTTAGTCCAGCTTTCCACCTTCAATTGTGCACCACTGCCGCCTGGCATAAGAGACACTGGCTTACCGCAATTAGCCATAGTTAGTACTGAGGGAAATGCACAAATTAAATGAGCTTAAGTATAATATTTTCATCACTGCTTCCCACTTAGCCAGCTGACCAGAAACAGAGTCTGCATTTGTTTTGTTGTTGTTGTTGAGAGATTTTTTTAAAACTATTTAATTTAACTTTATTTATTTTAATTTGACCAGAGAGGGACAGAGAGAGAGAAAGCAAGATGCCAGGTTCAGGACTTGAACCACTGTCAGTCACATGGGAGTCCAGCGCCCTTAACTACCACACTGCCTGCTGGCCCTGAGAGATTTTTGTTATAGGGCACTTGCGCTCACCAAAGACAGAGAAGAGAAAACAAGAAATCACCCTCCAGGGAGGATGGCCACACTGCTATCCCTTCTCCTCCAGTCTCCCCTCAGGATTTTGGGCATGCATGCACATGTGCCTGGCATGAGTTTCAAGGCACTGGGTCCAGAACTTGAACCACAGTTTACCAAAAACGCTACACCATCTGCTGGCCCCAAAATAGAGTCTGTAAAGCAAAACACTCTGCCATAATCATGTGGGGCAAAATTTACTGGGGAAATCATAAAGACACCTTGAGATCCATGAGATCTACAGCAATGAGAAACCTGCTACGTAACTGAGCAAGCCATCTGCTGACTGTCCATCCACCACGTTATTTGGCAATTTGACATGCTCTAAGTAGAAAAGGCAAACTTTAGAGATGTTCTTCTTAGACAGGATGAAGAGTGGGCAAAAATACAGGAAGCAGAAGTATAAGACAAAGGCCAGAATGAAAATCAAACCTTAAGAAAGGGAATCAAAAAAAATGAAGAGGTTGAACAGAGAGGAATGTTATAAAGTGAGAAAAAAACAACAAGAAACTGTCAGACAGACAAGAACATTTGAGCTGAAGATGAATTCTCATGTCCTGAAGAAAAAGTACCATTTCATATTTCAAAGAGAAATATGGCAAATTCACAGGTATCAGAAAGTAAAACGAGGCTTATTACTGATAACCTCCTACTAAGGGGTTAGAAAAAGGCTGTATTAATAATCCTGGAGTGGCTGCTCAGAGATGGATAATGTTCTCTGATACAAGACATGACCGAGCCTTGTAAGTCTGAAACGACAACAAAAAGACTGAAACATCCTTGTTACGAACCAATTTCATTAATGAGGTGAGAACGAATGGCAGGTAACAGGGCAGACTGAATGAAAGGTTTGGAGCTCAACAACTCTGACTAAACTTCACTGCGAATGCTGGTACAGCCACCTAAACGTGACACGGCCTTAGCCGAATCGCTTAACCTCCCTGAGCCTGAGTTTCTTAGCCTCGTAGATGGAGGAGATGACTGGGTTGTGCAGAAACACATCCAGCCAGGGCTGTTCTCACCCTGAGCGAAACAGGAGCAGTTTCTGCTAAATAAACAATAGCTATTATTACTAGTAATTATATCCTGAAAAACCTGAATCACATTACTAGTGCTTTTTAAAACTTATCAACAGAAGGAACTAAAGAAGTGAGGGGTGGGGGCCAGCAGGTGGCATGGTGGTTAAGGCGCTGGTCAACCCACATGGTTGACCACAGTTTGAGTCCCAGATCTGGTGGCTTGCTTTCTTTCTCTGTCTGTCTGTCTCTGTCTTTCTCTGGCAAAATTCATGTGAAAAAATAAATAAATAAAATAAATAATTCTTGAAAAGAAAAAAAGAAACGAGGGGGTGGGCATGTGGGATAGCAAAAGGCATGTCCTTTGGAGTCAGTGCATCTTGGTATCGGAACTCCAGCTCCACCCGCGGCCTCGACCTAGCTATTTAACCTATCTTCATATACATGGAAGGGGAATGATGCCTACACGTCATACAGAGTTGGGGAGGAGATTAAATAAGAACCCCATCTGGTTTCTATTCACTGTACAGTTAAAAAAAATAAGTAGAGGACAAAAGGATGATATTAAAAATAGTGATCAATGGTGTTGTAATCTGTGGATTATCCTACAGCCTGCCTTTTTCCCCTAGGAGTTCTCTACTTAAATCACATTTTAAAATTCATTAATCAGGGAACCAGCGGTTAGCGTAATGGCTATGTCGCTGGACTCCCACGTAGTCGACCGCAGTTCACGTCCTGGACCCGGTGGCTTAAAACTCACAGGGGCATGTGTGCGTGCGTGCCCAAGATCCCGAGAGGAAAATGGAGGAGAAGGGATTGTGGTGTGACCATCTCCCCTGGGGGGTGATTTCTCGCTTTCTGTCTCTATGTCTCTCTCTGTCTGTCTGGCAAGCACACGCGCCCTGCAGCGAAAACCTCTCCAAAATAACTAACTAACTAAATAATTTATTAATCAAATCTGTGTTGTATTATTTCTCTTAACACCTAAATTTTTAATGTCTGATTAGGGGCGTGAGTGATTTATCTGGTTTCTCTAATAAGTATGGTTTAGAGTCTATTTATCAGTTCTATTCTTCTTTTCTATTTTTGACTTTTTAACGTTTATTCTGAGGCCATGACTTACCAATTAGTTCCTCTGAATTTTAACTTATTCCAGTTTATTTCCTCAATCCAGGACTTAAGGAAGCATGCTAAAGGATCTCACTGCACATGCTCCCTTCCTTACACTGTGTTCACCACAGCTTCCGCTGTACGCTTCTGTGCCGTGTGGTTTGCTTCAGAGGATTCTTGATGGCTGTTTCTCACTATGATAGTGCTCATTTAAAGATGACCCTTTTCATTTTATTAATGCTCATCCCCAAATTTAATTTCATCCAATTTACTCAACTCCTTTATTTAAAAAAAAAAAAAGATTTATTTATTTATATATTTAATTCCACTTACTATTTTTTAATCTGACCAGACAGAGAGAGAGAGAGGGAAAGGGAAAGGGAAAGGGAAAAAGCAAGCCGCCAGGTCTGGGACTCAAACTGCAGTTGGCCATATGGGAATCCAGTGTCCTTAACCACCATGCCACCTGCCAGCCCCTAGACTCCTTTATTTTTCTTTTCTTTTTGTTTTTTTGGAGAGGTTTTTGCTATAGGGCGTATGTGCTCACCAAACAGAGAGAGAGAGACAGACAGAGAGACAGAAAGCGAGAAATCACCCCCCAGGGGGGATGGCCACGCCGCAATCCCTTGTCCTCCATTCTCCTCTCGGGATCTTGGGCACACACGCACACATGCCCGGCGTGAGTTTTAAGCCACCGGGTCTGGGACTTGAACCGCGGTTGACTACATGGAAGTCCAGCGACATAGCCATTACGCTAACTGCTGGTCCCAGACCCCTTTATTTCTGCATGGTAGTTTTTCCTATCATTTGCATTTGACTTTTGTATAGAATTTTTTTTTATATAGCTCTTTCTAATATGGATGGAAATGAAAATTTGTTTATCGGCTTAATGTGAGTTTTTGTTCTAACAGATGAGTTGCTCATACCTGCAGTTGTTATGATGACCTGACAACCAATCCTTACTGTGTTTCGTCTGTGCTCTTTTTTGTTGCTCTTCCCTCCTTTGTTATTATTATTTTTAATAATAATATTTGGAAATGCATGGATTAAAGTTCAGAAAAACAGCACTTTACTAATGGTTATCTCTGTTAGGGCTAGGAAATGTCAAATCAAGGGATATTTTCCTGAGTATGAAAAACATTCTATATTGTTTGTACTACTTTTGTAATCAGGAGTAAAAAACAGAACACTGAAAATATGACAGAGGACCAGATAATCATGCTAAAATAATCAAAAATGTTATTTTACAGGCTGGCAAGTGGCATGGTGGTTAAGATGCTGGACTCGCGGGACCAGTAGTTAGTGTAATGGCTATGTCGCTGGATTCCCATGTAGTCGACCGCGGTTCACGTCCCGGACCCGGTGGTTTAAAACTCATGCCGGGCACGTGTGTGTGTATGCCCAAGATGCCGAGAGGAGAATGGAGAAGGGACTGTGGCATGGCCAACCCCCCTGGGGGGTGATTTCTCGCTTTCTGTCTCTCTGTCTCTCTCTGTCTGTCTGGTGAGCACACGTGCCCTATAGCAAAAACTTCTCCAAAAAAAAAAAAAAAAAGATGCTGGACTCCCAAATGGCTAACCATGGTTCGAGCCCTAAACCTGGCGGCTTGCTTTCTCTCTTTCTGTGTGTGTGTGTGTGTGTGTGTGTGTGTGTGTGTGTGTGTGTTTGTGTGTCTCCCTGGTCAAACGAAGAACAGTAATAATAAATAAAATAAATAATTATTTTAAAAGGGGGGGGGCATTTCAGGCTGGGCTTGGCACATTTTTAGGCAAATACTATCTTCCAAAGATAAAAAGGAGAGAGAGTGTATGAGACATAATTGCATATACAGGTTAAAATAAAACCAAAAACCCAGACTATAAATCCAAGTCAATCTGGAGAGTAATCTACAGTGAGAGGCTACAAAGTCTAACATTTCTCCTACTGGGAATAAAATGCATGCCTACTAAGCTGTTAATCACCTGGAAAAACAAATTACACAATAACTAAATGTCAACGCAGTTTGGACTAAGTTCAGGTACACTTCCACAGTGTCACTGTTTGCTTCTTTCCTAGCTGTATTCTCTTTGTATGATAATGTAGCTAATAAAAATAGTGTCATGACATTTGTTCAGAAAGATATTTATGAACTGAAATGATAAATGAATCGACAGTATCCACGTTACAACTATAGTTATTTCTACTTAGAAGAAAAGACCTAGGCACATAGCCAAGGCCTAAAAGGAAATGAGGGGGCCAGCCAGTGGTGTGGTGGTTAAGGCGGCTGGATCCCAAGCAGCTGACTGTGCAGTTCAAGTCTTGGACCTCAGCTTGAAAAACATACCAGGTGTGTGTCCAAAATTCTGAAAGGAGAAATTGAGGAGCAGAGACTGTGGCATAGTCATTACCCTCGGGGTGTCACTTCTCACTTTCCCTCTCTCTCTCCCTCTCTCTCCGGTGGGCACATACTCACCCTAGCAAATTAAAAAAATAAAAAAGGAAATATGAAAAATAAAATGTTGTTGTTATAAGTTTATAAGGGTGCTGGGATTGTCAGTAATTACTTTTGTCTTATTTATTTATTTATCTATTTTTAAAGAGAGATTTTTGCTATAGGGTGAGTACACTCATTAGAAACAGAGACAGAGAAACAGAAAGTGAGAAATCACCCCCAGGGTGGATGGTCCCACCAGAGTCCTTTCTTGCATGCATAGGTGCCTAAAGTGAGTTTTAAGCCACTGGGCCCACACACACACACACACACACACACACACACACACACACACATACATACATACAGTCAATTACGTGGGAGTCCAGGAACATAACCATTTCGCCATCTGCTGGCCCCGCGTCTGTTTTTTTTTCAAAAAAGCATTTACTGGGCTGGCAGGTAGCATGGTGGTTAAGGCAGATGGACTCCCACATGGCTGACTGCAGTTTGAGTCCCAGACCTGGCAGCTTGCTTTCTTACTTTCCTTCTCTCTCTCTGTCTCTCTGTGGTCAACTTTAAAAAAAATTTTTTTTTAAATGACAAAGAATAAAATTAAACAAAAAGAAATTCTAATAAAAAAAGCACTTACTATCAGTTTTGTGTAACAAATATTGTAGAAATCAAGGGAATTGTTACTTACTACACGGAGGTCTTCGATGCGCTTTTCAAGCAGTACAGGCAGACCCTCTGGAAGTGTTGGTACCACCTTGGGCATAACCTGAGAGGCGTAGGTTGGCTGGGTGGTGTTTCCATTTTCTCCCCCTGACTCAGACAGGGGGCTACCATCGGAAGCAGCATCTAGTAATCTGTCAAAGTCGAAATCATCTAGCATCTCTAGGGCATTTTCAGCTTCCTGGAACAGTTCATGCTCATTTGTGCTAACGAAAATGGGTAGATCTGGATCGGCACTGCTCAGAGTTAAGTCCGGGACTTCATTCCCCAATGCTGCAGCAGCACAGGGGGGTTTATTCAGAGAGGAGGTTGATAAGGTCACTGGGACTTTAGGGTTAGACTCCTTCTTTAATGCATCCTTCTCTTTCTGAAATTTTCGTATCATGGCAGCTAGAGAAAGAGAATCTTTATAACGTTTCTTCTTTTTTTCAGACTTATGTGAATTTAGAGCCACAACTCTGTGAAGAAAGAAGTGATCAGTTAGGTTATATGTGATTTTTTCAAACATTAAAGCTTTGTGTAAATGAGAAGACATGGAATTAAAACATCATTTGCTAGGTGGCAGAGCAAATGGTTCTTAATTTTTTTAAATAATTATTTAATTTTATTTATTCATTCATTTGTTTTAATTTGACCAACAGAGAGAGAGAGAGAGAAAGCAAGCCACCAGGTACGGAACTCGAACCACGGTCGACCATGTGGGAGTGGCCAACCCCTTAACCACCATGCCACCTGCTGGTTCCCATAATTGCTTTTATTTTTTAAAGAATTATTTCCAGTGCCCTTAACTACCATGCCAACTTTCCAACCACTTCTAATTGCTTATTAAATTACATTATTGACAGCATCTTTTTCATCATCTGGATTGTCACCTATGAAAAGCAGATAGGTAAATGGCCATTATGGTGAAGAAATTGAAAAGAGGGTTGGTCCTTGGTCTACTGGTTAAAAGAACTGGATACCACATGTCAGCTGCAGTCTGAGTCCCAGCTCTGGTGGCTTGAAAAATATGCTAAGGACAGTGTGCATGCCCCAAATCCCAACAGGTTGGAAGAAAATAGGAGGATAAATTGCTGTGTGACCATGCCCCACTGGGGGTTACTTTCTCCCCTTCTCTTTCACTCACTCACTCTGTCTCTTTCTGGTATGTATATGTGCCCTCTGGCAATAAAATCAATTAATTAAATTTTTAAAATTGAAAAAAAGAAAATAAAAAGAATAAGGTCAACAGAATGAAAAAACTCAATATAACTCAGATTTATTTAAGTACATTAAGTTTTACTTATTGCTCTTTTTACAATGTTCACATTCTTCAGCAGGTCTATGGAGAGTAGTCATCTAAGAAATAAATTGCGGTAAGAAATGTACTTCTGCTGAAAATAGTATTGTCATATAAGCAGGGTACTCCATATAGAAAACCTTCAAACTGGTACCTGATGGCTTGAGCCACAAACTGCCAAAAACAAACAAACAAACAAACAAAAAACACAAAAATCGGCTGTCTTGATCTGGGTGCTTTCATTGCCACCATGCCTTCTTCCTAGACTCTATTCCACTGTGTTGTCAGGCGAGTCATGGCGTATTTGTGCATAGAAAAACAGACCATGACTTTTCTGACGACCTAATATAATATCTGCTATCTGCTAGCTTCTGATCATTTTCCACTTCCCATTCTAGAATAGCCATAGTAGATAGACAGATAAGTGCATTTTGTGATAATAACCTTCTCCCTATAGGAAGCCATCCCTGCCACTAAGAAATCACTTCCAAATCCTACAGATTAGAGGCTTCTGACTGCGCTATGGAACATAAAAAATTATTAGTACCTTGAAGGCAGGTCCACTTCTCATCTAATATTGGACACCCAAAACCTGCAGCAGAACCTATTATACAGTCAAGTACTCAACAAATATTTGCTGAATGAATAAGTTATAAAGTTGAAAAATAAGAAATTCAATTTCTCTTTAGATTTTAGTAGCAAAACCACTACATAAAAGCATCAAGAATACCTGAAAAAAACATCAGTATAATTGTTTATATTAGAACAAATACATCATTTATATGAAAGTTACCAACAATCTTCAGTCCTCAGACATCTAAGCTTAGTTTTAGTACCAAAAAATTAAAACAGCTTATTCAAAGGTTACTCCATCTTTTCAAACTGGTTCTAGTTAGTAAAAAGTTGTAATGAGGGTCAGCCCCTAAGCATAGTCGTTACCACTGTGCGGTAAGTGCCAGATCCCACGTGGCCAGATGCAGTTTGAATCTAGGTCCTAGCACTTGAAAAACATGTTGGGGGTCTGGCAGGTAGTGTGGTGGTTAAGGGCACTGGACTCCCACATGGCCGACCATGGTTCGAGTCTTGGACCTGGTGGCTTGCTTTCTCACTTTCCCTCTCTCTCTCTCAGTCCCTCTCTGGTCAAATTAAAATGGATGAATAAATAAATAAAGTTAAATAAAAATATTTTGGGGGGGGAGAGGTTTTTGTTATAGGGTATGTGCCCTCGCCAGAAACACAGAGAGTCAGAGAGACAGAAAGCTAGAAATCACCCCCTAGGAGGATAGCCACACAGCAATCCCTTCTTCTCCATCCTCCTCAAGATCCTGGGCATTATGCACATGTGCCCGGTGTGAATTTAAGCCACCGGGTCCAGGACTCGAACCATGGTCAATACATGGGAGTCCAGCAACATAGCCATTATGCCATCTGCTGGTCCCGAATAAAAATAATTCTTAAAAGAAAAACATGCTGGGCCCATGTGTGCACATGGCCAGATTTTGACAGGATGGAGAAAAAGAGGAGAAAGGACTGCAGCATGAACACACCCCACTAGGGTGCTTTGTCTCTCTTTCTTTCTCTCTCGGTCTTTCTAGTGAGTGTACATTTCCCTGACAATTTAAAAAATAAATAGATAAATAAAAATTATAATGGGCAATATACTTAAAGAACCAATCTGTAAATTAATTTAAAACACCATGAAGGGGCGGCAAGTGGCGTGGTACTAAGTACGTTGGACTCCCACATGGTGGACCACAATTCAAGTCCTGGACCTACCGGGATGCTCACTCGCTTGCTCTCTCTCTCTCTCTCTCTCTCTCCCCCTCCCTCTCTCTCTCTCTCTCTCTCTCCCTTGCTCTGTCCCTCTCTGGTCAAATTAAAATAAGTTAACAAATAAAGCAAGTTAAATAATTTAAAAAAATAAAATATGATTCTCTTTCTTGGGACCAGCAGCTGAAGTAGTCACGTTACTGGACTCTCATATGTCCTATTGCAGTTCGAGTCCTGGGCCCAGTGGCTTGAAAATCATACTGGGCACAAGTGCATGTGTGCCCAAGATCCCACAATTGCAACATGGCCATCCCCTGTGGTAGGTAATTTCTCATCTTCCCTATCGCTATAGCTATCTCTTCCTCTCTCTCTTTCTCCAGGTAGTGTATATGCCTAAGACAAAATCTCTTTTAAAAAAACAAAACAAAAAAATGAGTCTCTTAGATGACCAAGCCTACTTAATATTAAATGCTACAATATTATTAAAATAGAAGCGAATAGATCCATAGTATTTGTGTTCAACTAAGCTAAGCAGAATTAATTAACAATGGCAGTATCTTTCTAAAAGGAGTTAGCCACACTGCATCAGTAGCTCCATTACTAGATTTAATTTCACATACCCCAGTTGCTTGGGTACTTTTTTCCTTGGCTTCTTCTCCTTTTCACCTTCCTCTTTCCGCTTCCGTTTCTTCATCTCAATATCATCTTCTTTTATTTTGGGAATCTGCAAAATGATCGAAGAATATCTAAGTATGGATGCTTTACACTCTGAAGTTAGCAATGCGTATCCAAGGCAGTGGCTTTTCTCTAATGTCAGCGCTCACTAGAACTGCGTGAAAAATGTAGAATCTCGGGGTCCACGAGCACTCTCACCTCTGGTTTCATTTCTGCTATCTGGGATCGGGCCCTAAAACTTGTGCTTTTTTGTTGTTGTTCTTTTTTCTTTTTCAGAATTATCTTTAAAAATATATATATTTATTTATTTAATTCCATTTGTTATTATTATTTTTTAATTTGACCAGGGGGAGAGAGAGAGAGAGAAATGGAAAGCGAGAAAGGAGGCTACCAGGTCTAGGACTTGAACCACAGTCGGCCATGTGGGAATCCAGCACCTTTAACCACCACTTTACTTATGTATTTTAATTTGACCAGAGAGGGACAGAGAATAAGAGAGAAAGAATGAGGGAGAGGGAAAGTGAGAAAGCAAGCTGCCAGATCTGAGACTCGAACCACAGTCAGCCATGTGGGAGTCCAGAGCCCTTAACCACCAATCTACCTGCTGGCCCTTTGGCTGTTCTTAAAAGGGGTCTAGCATTGTTACAATCCTCCTGTGTCAGTTTTCTGAGTGCTGGTGCACAACACCATACCTGGTTTTTAGGGTAGGCCAGGAATCAAACCTGTGCCTCTCATGCAGTTACCACCATTGGGCCATAATTTGCATTTTTAACAAGTATTTTGGTGATTCTGATATGAGTCTTTGAACCACACTTTAAGAAACACTTATCTAATGATATTCATTTTGCAAATCCAATATATACGAACTCTACAGAATTTGTGTCAAATTACATCTTAGAAAGGTAATAGTTATTAACAGTCATTTTTATAGCAAGTCTTAATGTATCCTGAAAATTTAATCTTACCCTAGAAACAGATAATTAGAACACATATATATGTAGAGAGAACTTTTAAAAGAATTCATACTTTTACTATGATATAAATGCCAATTTTCCTGTATTCACACATTTTATTTTTTAATTTGCTAGAAGGTGCATGCACTTGTGAGACAGAGAGAAAAAAAAAAGAAGAGAGGGAAAGTGAGAAAGCAATCCCCTTGGGTCTGGTCACACCATAATCCCTTCTCTTCTATTTCTCCCACTTTTTGGGGTTTGGTGCACACACACGTACCTGTGTGTTTCTCAAGTCACAGGGTCCAGGGCTCAAACCACATAGTCGGCCATGTGGATCCAGCTGCCTTCACCAGCACACCAGCAGCTGGCACCCATAATTGTATTTTAAGACATGCAATTAACTATAGATTCATTAAACAATGGCTAGTACTTTACTTTTTCTTATTTGAACAGTGTGGCACATGTAACATTTTAAAAAATATATCCTAATAACTAAATGTTCCCTCTACTGCTGCAACATCAGATAAACTCACTTTGGGTGGCTTGTGCTTTTGGTTGTCTGATACATCTTCTTCTTCAGTATCTGAAGCTTGGCGAAACTGTAGCGTGCCCGTGTTGATATAAAAGCCTCCATATTTTGTGGTTAGAGAAGCAGGAACTAATTCATCATACTAGATTAAAAACAAAAAGTTTCAGATACATCTTATTGTCTTTAATCCTATAGATAAATCAGAAATTAATTCACCATGGCAACGTCTCACTTAAATCCTAACTTGTAACAATGACTGTGATAAGAATGTTTGTGAAATACATTAGGAACAGTGAACATATGAAATAAAAATTAGCTCTGAGCAACTAGTATATAGAGGAGAAAAGAACTTCTGGAATAATAGAGTAAATTCTTGACATTTTCTCAGCATAATATATACTTAAGAATCGCTGCTACTACTTCTTTCTCTTCCATTGCTACTATTCTTTTTTTTTTCCAGTTTGCTATCGAGTGTGTACACTTGTCAAAAAGAGACAGAGAGGAAGAGAAAAAGAGAAAGCACAACCCCATAAGGAGGATGGCCACCCTGCAATGCCTTCTCCACCATTTCTCCTCTTGGGATTTTAGACATGCACACATTTCTCTTTTCTTAAAAGAATTATTTTCTTTAAGTTTATCTGTTTGTTTGTTTATATTTTAATTTGACCAGAGAGGGACAGAGAGAGAGACAGAAAGAGAAACAAGCCATCAGGTCCAGGACTCAAACCAAGGTTGGCCATGTGGAAGTCCACGACTTTAACCACCACGCCACCTGCTGGTCCCACATTTTTTAAATGTTGGGAAAAATCAAAAGACTATTTCATAACACATGACAATCAGATGAAATCTAAATGTCAAAGCCCAGAGTCAAGTTGCAAGGTGACACAGCCACGCCCACTCGTCTACCTGCTGTCTGGCTGCTCTGTGCTACGTCAGAGTGGCTGGCTCATATCGAAAATACTGACTACGGGCCCTTTACAGAGAAAGCTTGCTGAAACAGTCTATGTAATAACGTGATAATAATTCACCATGGACCAACCCAACATTACAAAACTTAGATGCACAGTACTCTTTTTTTTTTTTTTAGAGAACAGTTTATGCTATAGGGCATGTGTGCTTACCAGAAAAACTGAAACAGAGCAAGAGAAAGTGAGCAATCATCCTCCGGGGGACAGCCGTGCTGCAATCCCTCCTCCTACATTCTCCTATCAGGATTTTTGGATATGCATGCACACGGTCCTGGCATGAGTTTCAAGCCACTGGGTTCAGGAATTGAACCACACAGCTCACCATCTGGGAGTCCAGCATCTTAATTACTAGGCCACCTGCTGGCCTTCTGCAGTATTTTTTTTTTTTAAAGAATAGTGAAAAATCTTTAAGCAGTGAATATGGCTTTTAAAAGCACAAATAAAGGACCAGCAAGTGGCGTGGTGGTTAAGGCACTGGATTCCCACGTAGGCGACAGCAGTACAAGTCCTGGATGCAGAGGCTAGAAAATCATGCTAGGCACGTGTGTGCGCATGCTTAAAATCCTGAGAGGACAAGGGATTGTGGTGTGGCCATTCCACCTGGGGGTGACCTCTCATTTTCCCTCTGTCTCTGGCAAGCACACATGCTGTATGGCAAAAAACTAAAGGAAAAAAAAAGCACAAATAAAAACATTCACTGGACTACTTAAGTTACTTTATCCCTGCCGTCTATTATCCCAAAGAATGTACTACTATAGTAAAGATATATTACTCACAGCCTCTGAGTTATCAATAAACGGATCTGTCTCATCATAGCCAAAGCCTATGTCAATTAAATCTTGTAGCCGATCCTTCCGGTGTTTACGGGGTTTCCCACCCTGCAAAAAACAGACACTTTAGACTGATTCAGTACTCACTGTAAGTCAGTACTAACTGTAAGTTAGTAGAAAAATTCAAATAAGTTTTGTAGATAATTACCTCCGGGAGGTTTAAGTTTCAGTTCCCCCACACCTAGAGCGTAAATTGCACTTTAGTGACTTGCTTCCTCAGAGGAAATTAAAGGGGGGACAAAGCGCCTCTCCAGGGGAGTGCCTGGCCGACAGGACCTCAGCTGTGACCACGTGAACACTGACAGTCATAAACCACGTTGAGAGTGTTACCTTTGATGTGACATGATAAAAACTACTCTCCGTCTCTGTGGTTCCCCCTTTTAAAAGCCTATAGCCTGAGTCTAAGAGAAAAACATCAAACTAACCCAGGTTGAGGAACATTCTGCAAAATAACCAACTAGTCTTCCTCAAAGCTGTTAAGATGTCAAAAGCAAGGAAAAGCTGAAAAGCTGTTGTGGTTTAGATGAGTCTAAGGAGATAATGATTTTTGTTTTGTTTTGTTTTGTTTTGTTTTGTTTTGGAAAAGTTTTTGCTACAGGGTGTGTACACTCACCAGAAAGACAGAGACAGAGAGAGAGTGAGTGAGAAATCACCCCCCAGGGGGGTTGGCCCTTCTCCTCCATTCTCTCGGGATCTTGGGCACACATGCACACACGCCCCGTGTGAGTTTAAAAGCCACTGGGTCCAGGACTTGAACCATGGTCGACTACATGGGAGTCCAGCGACATAGCCATTACGCTAACTGCTGGTCCCAGGAGACATAAAGATTAAATGTAACATGGTTCCATGGATGGGATCCAGGAACTGAAGAGGAGCATAAGCGGAAACTAGCAAAATCCAAGAAAGCTGTGGATTCTAATGAACAGAAACGTACCCGTTTTGGTTCCTTGGTTCTGACAAACGCACTATGTGAATGTAAGAACGTGTACATGTTAAGTAGGCGACAGTGGGTGAGGACTACGTGGCAACTACTATCTTGGCGACTTTTCTATATAACAAAACTATCACTAAATTACTGTTGAAACATTACACAATTACAGATATACAAGAAAAGGAAAAATGAGTGCACACAAAAACATGAAATCTGAGGAAGGTCTGCTGTCTGTCTCACCACATTGTACTGATGTCAACTCCTGCTTTTGCTAACTACAGTTATGAAAGACAGCAGTTATTCTATGTGCAATCTACTGTGAGTCTGCAATTCCTTTAACTATTAATAAAAAGTTTCTCAGAAGTAAAACAAGAAACCAGCAAGTGACATAGTGGATAAGGTGCAGGATCCCACATGGCTGACTCAGTGATTCAAGTCCTGGAACTGGAAGCTTAAAAATATCACCAGACGCACATGTATGCATGCCCAAAATCCCAAGGAGAGAATGAAGAAGGGATTGTGGCGTGGCCATTTCCCCGGGAGTGATTTTTTTACTTTCCCTCTCTTTCTCTCTGGGGAGCACACTTGCCTTATGACAAAAATCTTTTAAAAAAAGGTAAAACAAGGACAAAATAAAACAAAGCAGGTGAGGTTTCACCGGGTTTGCATCCCAGGACCTCCCTAAGCACACTGAGAACATGCACACATGCCCATGACCAGGGCCAACTGACACTGGGGATCGTGGTATGAAGACACTAATGGAAGTGCCTCTCTCTCTCTGGCTCTGTCTCATGGAAAAAATAAGTAAGTTTAAGGGGCCAACTGGTGGCATGGTACTTAAGAGGCTGGACACTTTCATATGGCCAATCATGGATTGAGTCTCAGACCTAGTGGCTTGCCTTCTCACTTTCCCTCTCTCTCTTTCTATGTGTCTGTCTCCGGTCAAATTAAAATAAGTGAATGAATAAATAAAATTAAGTAAATATTTTTTGAAAAGTTAAGAAAAAATAATAAAACAACCTAGCTGTTGCAGCACAACAGTAACCCAAGTGCCTTTTGAGGCTGCAAGCTAGCTGCCCTCTGCAGTTAGGCTCCCTGGGTTGGCCTGAAAATACACCCAGTACAAGCACGAACCCAAGATCCTGAGTTGCTGGAAGGCTGGGGAAAAAGGATCATAAAATGATGAGACTCTGTCCAGGGTGCCTTCTCCCTGTCCCCCACACGTGCCCTCACGTACACTTTCTCTATTATGAAGAAGACAAAAACAAACAAACAAACAAACAAACAGGGACCAGCAGATAGTTTAATCCTGGCGTCGTAGGACTCCCATGTAGTCGACCGCAGTTTGAGTCCTGGACCCAGTGGCTTAAACTCACGCTGGGCACGTGTGTGTGCATACCCGAGATCCTGAGAGGGGAATGGAGAAGAAAGGATTGTGGTGTGGCCATCCCCCCTGGTGGGTGATTTCTCGCTTTCTGTCTCTCTGTCTCTCTGGCCAGCTCACCGCTCTATAGCAAAAACTTCTCCCCAAAACAAAACAAAACAAAAAACACTTATTAACTCAGTTACAAAATGTTACATCTTTTCTTTTCTTTCTTTCTTTTTTAAATTTGCTATAGGGTGTGCATGCTCCAAAGACAGAGACAGAAAGACAAAGAAAAAAAGTAAAATTAGGGTACCCCTCTAGGGGGAATGGTCATGATACAATCCTTTCTCCATACTCCTCTCGGGATTTGGAGCACACACATACATGCACCCTGTGTGTTTTTCTAGCCACCATATCTGGAACTTGCACCATGGCCAGCCCTGTAGGACCCAGTAGCCTTAACTATCACACCACCAGCTGGCCCTGAAATACTATGAGCATTCTATAGGTTATCTGTAAGCTTCCTACAGTTTAAAAGCCTTACATGGTTGGGGACCAGCAGGTGGTATGGTTAGGGCACTGGACGCTCCCACATGGCCAACTGTGGTTTGAGTCCTAGACCTGGTGGCTTGCTTTCTTTCTAGCTTTCCCCCACTCTATCTCTGTGGCTCTCTTTGGTCAAATTAAAAATAAATGAATTAATGAATTAAGTAAATAATTAAAGAAAAAAAAAGACTTACATGGTAGTACTGTGGAAACAACTATAAGGCGACTTCAAAATGTTCATGGGAACCAGCAGTTAGCATAATGGCTATGTCGCTGGACTCCCACGTAGTGACCGCGGTTCGCGTCCCGGACCCAGTGGCTTAAAACTCACGCCGGGCGCGTGTGCGTGCGTGCCCAAGATCCCGAGAGGAGAATGGAGGAGAAGGGATTATGGCATGACCATCCCCCCTGGGGGGTGATTTCTCACTTTCTGTCTCTATGTCTCTCTCTGTCTGGCGAGCGCACGCGCCCTGTAGCGAAAACCTCTCAAAAAAAAAAAAAAAAGTTCATGAAAAAATGGAATTAGAGTAACAGTTTATTTTGGTATAATAAAATGTTGAAATCCATGCACTAGTTTTTAATAAAACACATTCTCCATGAACTTTCTGAGGATCCCACTTATATGTTAGCTCAATCTGCAAGAGTCATTTTAAGAATTTAAATGTACTTGCGCAAATTTAACTGTACTTTCTAAACATCCTTTTAACAACTCCCTGGGGGGGTGAGGAAAGGACAGAAAGAGAGGACGGAAGCAAGGACTGCACGGTGAAGTGCCAAGGACTCTGCCAACCAACACGCCGCCACCAAGCCACAGTGAGCTCGCAAGTTGGAGACATAGAAGTGAAGTTCTATGATCTCATTTGGTTTCAATTCTCACAATGTACACCTCTGAACGGAAAGTTGTGATTCTTTGTATTTTTTTTTAAGAGGTTTTTTTTTTTTTCCTATAGGGCACATGCGCTCACCAAAAAGACAGAAAACCAGAAATCACCCCCTGAGAGGATGGTCATGCCACAAGCACCCACACCCAATGTGAATTTTTTTTTTAACTTTTTATGTATTTCTTATTTCCATTTGTTATTACTATTTCTTAATTTGATCAGACAGAAACAGAGAGAGAGAAAAAGGAAAAGTGAGAAAGCAAGCCACAGAGGCCTGGGACCCGAACCCCAGTCGGCCATGTGGGAATCCAGTGCCTTTAACCACCACGCCACCCGCTGCCCCCGCCAGCATGAATTTTAAGCCATTGAGTCCAAGACCTAAACTGTGGTCGACTACATGGGAGTCCAGCGACAACCATTATGCCATCTGCTGGTCCCTGGAAAGTGTGATTCTAACAGTTAAAGACAGATGCGTGGGGCTAGCAGGTAGTATGGTGGTTAAGGCACTAAATTCCCACATGGCCAACTGCAGTTTGAACCCTGGACCCCCAGCAGCTTGAAAATCACAACAAATAGATAATAAACAAATGTTTCAAATAATAATAAGAGATGCATTTTAGATCCCCAGGCCTTCCCATGGGGCTCTAATACGGCAGTGATAAACTTTTGTCTATGCCACTGCTGGGCTGTTTCAGCGTACTTTTTTTTTTTAGGAGATATTTTTGCTATAGGGTGTGTATGCTTGCTGGAGAAACAGAGAGAGACAGACAGAAAATGAGGAATGAACCCCCACGGGGAGGGGGTTGGCCATGCAGCAATTCCTTCTCCTCCATTCTTCTCTCAGGATTTTGGGTACACACGCACACATGTCCACCATGTATGGGACTCAAACCATGGTCAACTACGCTCGAGTCCAGCGTAACCATTATACCGTCTGCAGGTCCACGTGTTGGTACACTCTCGTTAGCAGTGTCTGAGCAGTCCTATCTCTTCGTCTTCCTGGAACTTAAAAGTTTATAAATTTGACGGAGAAACTAGCATCTTTAATTACATTTAATCAATTTAATAATTACTCTCCACTGAATTGGAATGCTACTTTTCTCATTTTATTTCCTTTTTTTAATAGGATTTGGCCTTAGGGTGTGTACACTTGCCGGAAAGAGAGACAGTGAGAGAGAGAGTGAGAAATCACCCCGCCACAGTCTCTTCTCCATTCTCCTCCTGAGATTTTGGGCACACCGGAAATGCACCCAGCCTGAGTTTGAAGCCACTGCTCTCTCATTTTAAATTCCATATACCAAGGTAGCTTTCTGTTCATCCTGCC